CTCTTCTGTGTTTCACATGCTGTTGAGGATGTTGTTTCATCTCCAGCCTGTGCTGTGCCACCTGGGCTTGCTTGGTCTATGGCCCATGTTTTTTTTCCTTTCTCCCTGCTGCTTGATTTTGGTGGCCCCTTCTGTTTGGTTTGTTTCTTTTTACATTGCTGGGTTGCTGAGCCTTGTGCTTTCCTCCAGCTCCGGATCTCTGGCCTTTCACCCTGTTGGGCATTTTTTTCGTTTGCTTCAGGCTCCTTCTTTCCTGCTGGTGGAGATTAGCTCAGTTAGCCTGAGGCACCTGAGCGCCTGACAGCTGGGTGGACAGCGCTTCGGATTCGTAGTCCTGAGGTTCCGGGTTCGATCACCGATGGAGGCGGAGACAAATGGGAAAAATGTTTCTTTCACCCTGATGCCCCTGTTACCTAGCAGTAAATAGGTACCTGGGAGTTAAACAGCTGCTACGGGCTGCTTCCTGGGGGTGGAGGCCTGGTCGAGAACCGGGCCGCGGGGACACTAAGCCCCGAAATCGTCTCAAGATAACTCAAGATAGCCTCTGGGGCAGTCCATGCATTGTGGAGTTCATTAGTTTGGCTAGGGGTGCTTTATTTGTTGTCAGGTTGCTGCTTGTGATGCTGGCTGTGCCTTGGTGGCTGCCTTGTGAGTTGATCCAGTCCCTGGGTCCCCTGTTCCAAGGGTTTCCTTTCTCCGGTTGTCTGCAGTGTTTCTTTGTTTGCTAACCTGCTGTCTTTCCTCACGTCTGTTGTGTTCAGAGGTTTACCATTTTCTTGGCTGTCCTTACAACCCTGTCCTAGGCTGTTGTTCAGGCATAAGGGGTTTCCAGTCATCCTGTGTTTGGGTGGCCCTGTTTCCCATTGGGGTGCCTGAGCTTTGGTGACCTTGTGTGGTCTTGGCTCGGCTGGACTTCTCTTCTTCGTTGTCCCAGAAAACCAGCATTGAATATAATAAGATACCAATTTCTGGGTCAGCCCCAGTAGCTCTCCGACACCCTCCTTCTCTCCAGGTCGATGGTAGGTTTGCATCATTGTCAGGCTGAGGGTGGAGTATCTGCCTGACCTCTGGCTACCTTCCTCCTCCCTCGAAATGAGGAGGAAGGTGCGGCGAACGAGCTGGCACTAGTTTCATGAAATTTCTATCATTTATTTACATTGTTGTAGGCGTTCTATAGCCATTTCTGAAGGCTGTAGCGCCAGCAGTGGTTTGTTTTGCTTTGCTAACTTTCTGGGTGTCTTCCTTGGTGGTGGGGCCATAAATGAATAACTTATTATATAAATGTCACTGCTCCCTGTGTCTCTGTAAGGGAGCCAGATTCTGGCTCTTGGTCCCTGGTAGGCCATAGAACTCTGCACCTGATGGGACCTAGTAATATGACACACTATCAGAGATTCCTTCAGGAAGCCACCAGGGCTCGCCCAGAAATGGCCATTTCGTTACATACAATGCTTTTTTTGAGATATATACAAGAGTTGTTACATTCTTGTACAGCCACTAGTACGCGTAGCGTTTCGGGCAAGTCCTTAATCCTATGGTCCCTGGAATACGATCCCCTGCCGCGAAGAATCGTTTTTTCATCCAAGTACACATTTTACTGTTGTGTTAAACAGAGGCTACAGTTAAGGAATTGCGCCCAGTAAATCCTCCCCGGCCAAGATACGAACCCATGACATAGCGTTCGCGGAACGCCAGGCGAGTGTCTTACCACTACACCACGGAGACTGTAATTGCCAACCTAATAATTGCTAATAATTTTAATTGCCAACCCACTACCATGTTTAAAAAAACATAACCACTGAACTAGCATGTACAGTAACACTGTGCCTGTCCCTGGTTGTGGGGTATATAAGAGGTTATTTTCCCTGTGTGTTATTCTTACCAAAGTTGGTGTATAGGGTTCCTGAGTTACAGCAAGTATTTTTATTTCATATTGTCCACTGCTGTCCCTAAAGATTTTAATGTTCTTGCTAAATTTTTATTTAGTAGGGTTTTACTATTTGCCTGAAAAACATATCATTAGCTTATTTTGAATCAAACTCTTACTTCAATTAATTTCTGGGGGGAGTCCCTTCAGCTCCCCGGAGCTTACTAAGCTGAGATGCTAATGTCATCAGTCATGTGTATGGAGTTCTGTGGGCTTACCAGTGACCACGAGCCAGAACTTGGGCCCCCTCAGAGGCATGGGGAGGAATGGTCTATAGAAACCCCCATGTGGTTGGAAGCATTCTATGTCTGCCATCAACCGGGTCAGGCACCCAGAAAGGTAAGCATCCCAAAATGAACCCCTATTCTGGTGAAAATTTTGCTACCAAAAGCTGAAAAAAGTGGATAGAACTCCCCTAAAAGAAACGAGTAAATGAGCATGACATCACACGTCACTGACCGCTGTCTGCGCAGCTCCCCCTCCCCAGGAGGGGAAAAGGGGGGGGGGAGCCTCAGACCCCTGCACCGGCTATCCACCCTTCAGTTCTAAGGCTGATGCTAGAGGCAGAGGTTGTGTGCTTGGCTCCAGAGTTTCCAGCACTGTGCTTTGAGTGTGGTGGCTGTCTTATAGGGTGTGAGATCCAGGGGTTATTCTACAGTACTCGGGCTGCATGCGCCTAGGGTTATTGTCCCTAGGTGGTTACCTACCTTGAGGTGCTTCCGGGGCTTAGCGTCCCCGCGGCCCGGTCGTCGACCAGGCCTCCTGGTTTCCGGACTGATCAACCAGGCTGTTGGACGCGGCTGCTCGCAGCCTGACGTATGAGTCACAGCCTGGTTGATCAGGTATCCTTTGGAGGTGCTTATCCAGTTCTCTCTTGAACACTGTGAGGGGCCGGCCAGTTATGCCCCTTATGTGTAGTGGAAGCGTGTTGAACAGTCTCGGACCTCTGATGTTGATAGAGTTCTCTCTCAGAGTACCAGTTGCACCTCTGTTTTTCAACAGGGGTATTCTGCACATCCTGCCATGTCTTCTGGTCTCATGTGATGTGCCCTGTAAGTACTGCCCTTGGAGCTTGGGGCCACCTTCCACAAGTTCCTCTGGGCCTGCCTCTGCTGGGCCATTTTACTGGTCAGTTTTTCGGCCACCTTTTGGGTGCTTGGGGTTTTTGTCTTCCTGGTTTGCCTTAGGGTAAGAGGCAGTTTGCACTGGTGCAGGGTGCAGGGTACTGCGCAGTTTGTTTTCACCATAGGGAGCCGGTCAGCCAAGCGGACAGCACGCGGGACTTGTGATCCTGTGGTCCTGGGTTCGATCCCAGGCGCCGGCGAGAAACAATGGGCAGAGTTTCTTTCACCCTATGCCCCTGTTACCTAGCAGTAAATTAGGTACCTGGGTGTTAGTCAGCTGTCACGGGCTACTTCCTGGGGGTGGAGGCCTGGTCGAGGACCGGGCCGCGGGGACACTAAAAGCCCCGAAATCATCTCAAGATAACTTCAAGATAACCATTCACAGCGGCCGGCTCTGTTCCTTGGGGTATGTTTTCCTCTTGCAGGGTTTTATTTTTCTTTGTGTTTTTGCCTCGTGGGGGTCTGCCTTGTATGCCCCCTTTGTGCCTGACCTGTGCACGGTTCTTTTCTAGTGGTGCCCCCTGCTAGGTCCCCGTGAGTGTACACGTCCCTGGGGTTCAGCTTTTAGATAGTTGCTTGGTATTTGTGGGCACTGGTTAACAGTACCCTGCCTGGGTGTACCAGGGCGTGAGTTAAGTTAAGCACTCAGGACCCTGGGAATCCCCTTAGGGGCGTGTGGGTCCAATGGATGTGTCCCCGGAGCCCCCCCCTCGCTTCATACGAGGTTGCTCGATCGCCTTGACTCAGGGTGACCCTCACAGTTTTTGCCTCCGTCACATTGCCTGTTGGGTCGGTGATACTTTCGCCCTGGAGTCCTGCGAGTTCTGTTGCTTGCTTTTGACTCAGTTTACCCAATCTCATGATGATATTCTAAGGATACAGGCAGTGCAGGTGTTGCATGTGTGTTTTAGGTTGTTGCAACACGCTAGGTTGGTTGGTCCTGGGATGCTCACTTGGAGCATCTGGGTGAGCACCCAGATGCTCCAAGGCTGCCCCGTTTTGCCTATAGAGATTCGGACTTGGGGGTGGGGGACACTTCGACCTTGGTTCAGTCTGCGCCCCCTCGTCCTTCCTCTGTTTTGGTTCGTTCTGCCCCCCCCCCCCCTGCTTCCGACTTTGAAGCGTCTAAGGGTTTCGGAGTCGGGGCAGGGTTTAGATGGTCTTGAGTCTCGGGAGATGCCCCTTCTGGTGTGGTGACGGAGGCATTCGAGTCTGATCTCCCTACCAAAGCCTCTAGGCCTGCCTGAGCCTATATAGCCTCTATCCTATATACAGAACATATACGGCACGCATAGATGTGATAAAGCACCTAAATTATTGGGCTCGTCTCAAAGCTCTCCAAATGTACTCACTAGAAAGGAGACGAGAGAGATACCAAATAATATACAAATGGAAAATACTGGAAGGCCAGGTCCCTAATCTACACAGTAAAATAACAATGTACTGGAGTCTGGGGCTCCCCCTTCCCCCACCTGGGGAGGGGGGAGCTGCCCAGACAGCGGCGCTGCGTTGTATGACATCATGCTCATTTGCTCATTTCTTTTAGGGAAGTTCTATCCACTTGTTTGGCTTTTGGTAGCAAAATTTTCACGAGAATAGGGGTTTATTTTTGGGATGCTTACCTTTCTGGGTGCTTGACCCGGTCGATAGCAGACATAGAATACTTCCAACCACATGGGGGTTTCTATAGACCATTGCTTCCCATGCCTCTCTGAGGGGGGGCCAAATTCTGGCTCGTGGTCCCCGATAGGCCCACAGAACTCCATACAAATGACTGATGCTAAAGTCTGACAATATTATATTGGCCTAATAAGCTCCAGGGAGCTTCCGGGTCTCACCCAGAAAATGGTGTTTCATTACATTCAACGCTGGTTTTTCTGTATATTATACACAATCATGAATATAATTATTATTATTTGAGATTTTCTCAGATTTCTTCCACTTTTCAGGAAGCAAGCAATCCTCCCAAAGGTGGCCATACTATCAAGCCCAATGAACCTCCTCGAAAATCTATCAGCAGTTGGTTAGCCAAGTGTACCATCCTATGATCTCACTTGCCGTGTTTTATAGTCTCATTGTGGCCATTTTCTGGCCTTGGCCATCAAGGCTAATTTATGGCCAAGAAATGTATGAGTGTGATTTTCCTGTGATTGTTGCAGCTCTGATGAAGACAAATTACAAACTTTGTGCACTCAGATGAAATTATCGATAACATCTGGCTGAGCCAGTGAGTCAAGGTCCATGACATGTGATCGAACACTTGATGAGTAATTCTCTTGGTTGGCACATAATAAGCAAAATATTATACAAATAGTTATTAGAAAGCTATGCGATGCTGCATTATGATTATTGTTAAAGAAAATGAATGGTAAGTTGTAAATTACTGTACTACCAAAGTTTGACCACAGTTCCCTGTTGCCACAATATCTTTAGTATGTCAGGCATTTTCATGTGTATCTGTTCTTGCTATGCATCTGTGATTAGTAGACTTGTTTGTGTATGTGACTTTATAGTAACATATACCTGGTAGGTTTATACCACTATCTTCATAGAATTCAATCTCCACTTTTCATTATTTTCACTAGGAATTATAAATTTATATCACAGATTCTGCATATAGCACAATATCCATCCATAAAGTACATAGTGTCATCAACTGGCTCGTGTGCTAACTGTATTTTGCTCCTCAGATTTTCTGTATAGTTAGTCTTAATTAATGTCCTGTCACCATAGTTTCATTTAATTCGTATTTATTTAATATTAAAAAGATATAAAATGAATGGATTTCTGCTAATTTGTTAGAAATTTTGTAAATGGAGACCACATTATCTAGGATATAAGTGTTTGATCAAATTTCTAAATTGTATTAACAAATAAATTAATTTCATCATGAAATATGTAGTTATGAATGATTTTGTACATAACCTTATGAAAATAATGTTTGAATATTATAAGCTGTTAATATTCTATGCAGAAGAGAATAATAGTGGGACTTCCAATAACTTTTGAACCTGACTCACGCTGGAGACGTTTGTTCAGTCTACGGTGCTCTGCCAAAATTTTGCTTGGTGCAGGAGTTATGTGTGATGCCAGTTGTCGTGATGAAGATGCGCTTGCATGTATTACATACCAATGAAATTATTAATTTTTTCAACATTTATTTTATTTCATTGTTGCTAGATTTAGTTTAAGCTTGTTTTTGGCTTGTGATTACACTTTTGAATCTTTTTTTTTCATAAGTATTACAATTTTCTAATGCAGTTGTATTGTTTATTTTCACAGTTGAATTAATGTCAAGTGTGATGCAATCAAACCTTGCACTTACAGCCACTTCACATTCTATACTTTGTGTATAGGAGAGTCCACCAGTTTTTCAAAATATTTTGCCAGCTTTCCTAAACTAATGCTGGTACATTTGAAGTTGAATTTCATGCCAGTTTTGTTATATAAGGCGATGCTCTACATTTTGAGTATTCAAGCGTGATATTTAATTTTCAGTCACTGCTCTTACCATTCTTACTTACTGTATGAGCTCGCTTAGCCAGAGTATATAGGAAGGACCCCCGTCTGATAAACCAGACATCCCGATAAGAACTATTTCTTCCTGGGAAAGCCCAAAAATAAACATATTCACAATTATTTGTATCACAACCAACATAATTTGATTTTTCACACGCACCCACTACAATTAAAATGTATACCAGTACTGTAATTTAAAACAGAAACTTCAGCTTATCTCGTTTTTAGTTCGTCTTCTTGATTGATACTACACATCTTGAAATAGTAATTCTTGAAAATTTGTTACATAAACTAACACAACACTAAAATTACTGTACAATACATGAGCTTGGCAAAAGGTAAATTTTGACTGCCAGCGGCTAAACCATCACTGGTTGAAGGCTCTTGGCTGTCTGGTGAGGCTTCACTGGTTGAAGGTCCTCGGTTTGTGTGTGAGGCTTCAGTGGTTGAAAAGTCTTGGCTTGCTGTTTTTATCAAATAAGACTCAACTTTTGTTTGCCTCCTGTGTTCATTGGCCTCTCTTGTTATTAGCTCTTTGGTTCACCTCACGTACTGATACAAGTTTCCAACTTCTAGATTAGCACAGTTGGATGAAAAATTAACACGTCAAGAGAAGACATAAGTAAACTGTACTTGGTTGTCTGAGGGGTTGTTAGCACAACCTTCTTTCTCTTAACACCTCAAGGACGATTGCTGCTGCTACCAAACATTATCTTCGCAAAAATTATCGAAGTTACTATGATAATTTATAGTAATTTCTAGTAAGATAAATAACTTTTTTAAAACTATACTATATAAGAAAATGTCTCGCTAATGGCACGACACTCAACATGAAGGTTGAGAGCACGTGACCTGTTTAGCTTGAGCAGGCCTGGACAGTGCAGGCCTGTTATGTAGGCTGCCAGGCAGAAAAATTACATTTTTAGCAGGAAACTACATTCTTCAACCTGTACACATAGTTTTTAAGAAGTGTTTCTTACAATATTAGAAAATATTTCTTTAGTTTTATACTGTAATGAATTGTTTTAACATAATTTTTGGTTATTCTATACAGTACAGATCATATGCCCCTCATCACACCCCAGGCAGTCCCTTCTGACTTTCCTCTCTCTCCAGCCACCCTTATCCTGAAACCATCCTCTCTCCATCCACCCTTATCCTGAAACCATCCTCTCTCCAGCCACCCTTATCCTGAAACCATCCTCTCTCCAGCCACCCTTATCCTGAAACCATCCTCTCTCCAGCCACCCTTATCCTGAAACCATCCTCTCTCCAGCCACCCTTATCCTGAAACCATCCTCTCTCCAGCCACCCTTATCCTGAAACCATCCTCTCTCTAGCCACCCTTATCCTGAAACCATCCTCTCTCCAGCCACCCTTATCCTGAAACCGCCCACCCCACCACCTCTCATCCTCTTGAATTCTATTGACCCTGACATGCCTATGTCCATCCTGTAACCTAGACCAGCGGTCATCAACCTTTCGAAGCTCAAGGATCACCGAATTCATAATTTTAAATCCCACGGACCACTAATATGAATCCTGCAGTCCACCAAATGAGAAATGATAGTTGGTTATTAAAGAAAACAATTTTATGCCATTAAATATAACAGTTAAAGAAAATACATACATGCAATACACAAATAAAATTGTCTCGCAGTCCACTGGTGATCTGCGGACTACCGGTTGGCGACTGCTGCGCTAGACTATTACCCAGTGCCAACTTTGGTGAGGCTAGCGGAAGTGTCTGGGCCTCCAACATTGGACAGACAGACATACACACATTATATTCTCTCTTATAGATATAAATAGATTTGGATTATAGAATAGTGCAAATTACTGTATAGTATCCAAAATTTTGCTGAACACACTATCCTTGTTAAGCTGAAAGTGCAAAGTTCATCTGTATCACATGTTCATTTGGCTTATGTGAAAAATTTGCAAGTTATGTTGGGCTGAGAGGGTTGTCTCATTTTGCTGTAGGTTATCTGTTCCAAAAATCTCTGCTTTTGGTTTCACTAGCACTACAGTGAGCTAGTTTGCTTGTTGCTCTTTTTGCTGTTGGTATCATTGTCACTTTCAAAGAGTTTCATTACTCTTTGTGGTTTGATTTTACCTGAAATAACTTTATGTACTCATGCAAGTTTATATGTAACAACCTATATACTGTATACTCCTGTAGTTATTGTTTATTGACTTGAAAACAAATAACAGAACTGTGAAAAGTAACATCAGTCATTTTGCTACCAACAGAGAAGTGCTCATTTATCATGAAACCAAGCCATCAGCTTTCCTCTAATTCTTTTTTATGTGATAAAGCTGTTATGTGTATTCTTTACACATAGGAGGGAGTTTTACATAGTTTCACATAGTTTTAGGGAGGAAGTTGTGATTTTTGTTAAATGACAAATCTTTTGTGTAAAGATACTGATTAGGAAAAAGCAATACAGCATGTGTAATAAATATTGTAATAAATATATTAGTGCATAAATGTACATATCAAGTGTTTTCTATTTTGTAATTATAATTACTAGGGATTATATTTGACAATGAAAATTTTGTATAATTAAAATTGTATTGAGGACTTTAAGAAAGAAATTTTGTTTTTTTATATGTCCAGTTATCATCCCAAAGTTAAGTTAAGGTTCATTATTGATAAGAATATTTTTTTACCCCATGATCTGAACCTTCGAAGACTTATAAATTTACTTTTCTGGAGGGAGTTCCTTGTGGCTTTCTGAAGCTACAATCACTGATGGTATACAATCTATTAGGTCACAGCCATGGAGTTGTGTAGGCCTACTGGATACTAGCACCAGAATTTGGCCCCCCCTCACAGAGGTGCACGGAGCAGTGACATTTATACATTTATTGATGCTACCACCCGGGAAGACACCCAGACAATCAGTAGTACAAAACAAACCACTGCTGGATTCAGATGAGACCACAGGATCGGGAACTGATGAAACAACTTCCCCCAACAATGTAAACAATAAAAATCTCTTCAAACTAGCTCAGTGTTCGTTTGCACCACCACCTTTTACACTCATTTGGCCAATGAGGGAAGGCCGCTTCCGGTCAGCCAGCTGCACCACCCTCATTTTTGTGCTCTTGTGTGTAGTGTGTGTGCCTGCTTGCCTCTCTGCTGCTTGCACTCCAGTGTTTCACTATTACAGCTACATCGTGATTTTTGTCTCTGCGGGAGTTCTGTACACTGCAGTGTTGTGTGAGTCTGGACATCATGAGTGCTTGGAGCTAGATGTGCACCGAGTTATTTTGTGTGTGTGTGTGTTCCATAGTGCTGCTTTTGCTCTTCAGGATTCTCTTCCCTGGGGAGGTCGGGTGTCACTACCTTAGGAGTTCTTGCTTGTGGTGGCCTTCGCCCAGGGTTATCTCGAAATGATTTCGAGGCTTAGCGTCTCCGCGGTCCGGTCCTCAACCAGGCCTCCTTTTTTGTTACTCAGCCCCAGGAAGCAGCCCATAGCAGCTGTCTAACTCCCAGGTACCTATTTACTGCTAGGTAATAGGGGCATCAGGGTGAAAGAAATATTTTGCCCATTTGTCTCCGCCTCCACCGGGAAACGAACCCAGAACCTCAAGACTACGAATCCGAAGCGCTGTCCACCCAGCTGTCAGGGTGAGTCAAGTGTTTTCAGATTTTCCTTTCTTTACTCAGGTTGGATGTGACATTGGCTGGCTTGGGGTGCACTGGGTATTTGCATGCTACACTATAGCACACCAAGATAGGCCTTTGTAACCACAGGAACCAGGCTATGTTAGCTATCTCCCTACCTACCTACCTACCTTGTGTAGCTTCCAGGGATCAATGGTCCCCACGGCCCAGTCTCTGCTTCCGGTTGGTCATCTGGTCAAGCAAGCTGTTGGACACGGCTGCTTGCAGCCTGATGTATGAATCATAGTAAGGTTGATCATGTATTCTTTGGAGGAGTTTGTCGTTCTATCTTGAACACTGAGAGGCCGGCCAGTTATGCTCCTTACATGTAGCGTGAGTGTTGAAAAGTCTTGGGCCCTTGATGTTGATAGCGTTCTCTCTCAGCATACTTATTACACTTCTTTTCAACAGGGTATTTTGCACATCCTGCCATGCCTACTGGTCTCATGTGATGTTATACCTGTGTTCATATTTAGGACCAGTCCTCTAATATCTTCCACATGTAGATTATTATGTACAGTATCTCGTCTACGCTCTAGAGAATACAGATTTAGAACTTTTCATTTACAGTATCCCAATAATTAAGATGACTTATGGAGTGGATTCTAGTGGTAAAGGATCTTTGCAGGCTCTCTAGGTCAGCAATTTCTCTGGCTCTGAATAGGGCTGTTAGAGTGCAACAATATTCCACTCTAGAGAGCACTAGTGTCTTGAAAAGTATCATCACTGGTATGGCATCCCTTGTTTGGAAGGTTCTTGTTATCCTCCCTGTCATTTTCTTGCAGTTGTCACAGCTACTTTATTGTGTTATATAAAGTTAAGGTCTAAGGACATGATTACTCCTAGATCCTTTACATTGCTTTTTCGTTCTATAGTGTAATTTGATTCCATTTTTACATTTTGTTTTTTCCATAACGCAGGAGCTGGAAACATCATATTATCTGTGACCCATTGAAAGACCTGATTTACATCTGATTGGAGGTTTACTGTATCCACTATATTGTCTTCTCGCTTAAAAATACTGGTGTCATCTGCAAATGATGATACAGTGCTGTAATTTGTATCCTTGTCTATGTCTGATATTAGATTGAGAAAAAGTACTGGAGCAAGTACATTATCTTGGAGGGACTGAGCTTTTCACAGTACTGTAGATGGTCCGGATTTTACTGTGTTGACTATTACACTCTGTGTTCTATTCACTAGGAAGTTGAAGATCCATCTCCCTACTTTGCCAGTAATTCCTTTTGCACGTATTTTGTGTGCAATAACACCATGGCCACATTTGTCGAAAGCTTTTTTCAAAATCTGTGTATATTACATCTACATTTTGCTTATCTTCCATGGCACCTAAGGCCATGTCATAGTGATCTAGCAATTGTGAGAGGCAGGAGCACACCCTGTTCTGAACCATGTTGTCCGAGGTTATGTAGATGTTGTGATTCCATGTGATTTGTAATCTTCTTAGCACTCAAAGATTTTTAAGATGTGTGAAGATAGAGCTATTGGTCTATAATTTTTTTGCAATTGCTTTACTACCTCCTTTGTGAAGTGGCACTATCTCGACTGTATTAAGCATGTCAGGGATGACATCAGAATCTAGGCTCTATCCAAAAGATGTTTAGGGCCTGTGATAGCGGTGTTTTGCACTTCTTGATGAATATAGAATTCCATAAGTCTGGTGCAGAGTGCATGGGTATGTTGTCTATGGCTACTTCAAAGTCCTGTGCAGTTAGGGTGACATCTGATATGTGGTTCGATGTTGGTGTGACATTCATGAAGAAGTCATTTGGATCAATGATCTTCAATGTGTTCAGGGGTTCACTGAAAACAGAATCATATTGAAGCCCCAGTATTTCACTCATTTCTTTATTGTCATCTGTGAAAGTTTCATCACCCTAACTAACAGAACTGCATCCCAATGCTGGATGCAGTTTTTGTTCTTGTTTTTGCATACGATAAAAAGTATTTCGGGTTCCTGTCTATTTCACTTATGGCCTTTTGCTCTCTTTGCCTCTTGGATTTTATATGATTATCTCAACTTGAGCTTGATCATTTCTATTTCCCTATATAGCCTCCTCATCATTGTTGGGATAGAATGGAGCATTCGAGGTGTTCTGGTATTTGTTTTCTTCGCCTATAGCGGAAGCACCGTTCTCGTTCCAGTTTACATATTTTACTCCCTTTTTTCTTAATGATATATGCTGTCTACATATTTCTAGTGCTACCGTGCTTATTTTCTCGAAGCACTGGTTTTAAGTCTGCATTATGTAGTTGTTCTACCCAGCATTGTTCTACGAGGTCTTGGTTTATTCATTTCCAGTTAATCAGTTTGTTATTGTTATCAGTTTGCAATCTGTCATTGCTGTCTCCTTCCTGTAGCTTTGTGAGACTTTTGGGCACCCAGATGTGAACTACTTTGCATTGGCATGGTCTTGGCATGCCAATTACGGACCCTTTGATCTGTAATTGTTTCTTCCTGTCTTTGTTCTTTATTACTCTTGCTTCCTGTTGTTGAGTGCATGAGCTTCCTGCTCTCCTCCGGCAGTGGGGGGTTTTGTTCTTTTGGCGCCAGTGGGTGGTTTGTTCATCTACAGCTGGCTCCTTCTCTTTTTGCTGGGATTGAGTCGGCTTCCAATGGGGTCCTTTCATCATTGAAACTTGGGTGGTTCAGCCAGGAGTGCATCTTATGTCGTGTCTGGTGGTAGTTTTCCACTAGTATCTTTGTGCCACTGTTTTCACTTCAGTGGGTGCTTTGTGGACTAATTCTTTTTCCTTGGCCCCCTCTGTTCCAAGGATCATATTTCTCAGGTCATCCTCTGTGTTCTTCAGCCTAGCCAGCCTGTGGTCTACCCTCGTGCTTACAATTTTCAGCCATATGCCACTCTTGCAGGTGTGTTCACTCGCGTATTCTGGGCTGCTATTTAGGTGTTGGGGGTTTTGGAGGGCATCCAGGAGTCTCTTCTTCGTGTTAGTGTCTGAGGTACTCCCTCCTCCCTGGTGAGAGCATGTTAGTTTTCCTTCTCTGTGGGGATATAAACTTCAGGGAGCCACAAGGGGCTATCCCTAGAAAACCAGCTTTGAATGTAATGGAACGCCAATATATGGGTGAGCCCCATTAGTTTCCTGAGACTTTCCCTCCAGGTTGTTGGGAGGTTAGTTGTATCTACTATACACTATATATCTTGTGTGTGTGTGTATATATATATATATATATATATATATATATATATATATATATATATATATATATATATATATATATATATATATATATATATATATATATAATATATTATATATATATATATATATATATATATATATATATAATATATTATATTATATATATATATATATATATATATATATATATATATAATATATATAATATATTATATATATATATATATATATATATATATATATATATATATATATATATATATTATATTATATATATATATATATATATATATATATATATATATATATATATATATATATATATATATATACATACATACATACATACACACTGTTGGGGGGGGGGTTATTTCAACGGTTCACATGGCTGCTGTCTCGTTTGCAGCCAGCCAGCCAGCCAGCCAGCCAGCCAGCCAGCCAGCCAGCTTGTTTTGTCTCACTGACTTTCTGGGTGTCTTCCCTAGAGGTGGCATCAATAAATAAATAAATGCCACCACTCCCTGTACTTCTGTGAGGGAGGCCAGTTTCTGGCACTGGTTCCCAGTAGGTCTATAGAACTCCGCAGCTGATGCAACCCAGTAGATGGTATACTATCAAAGATAGTAGCTTCAGGGAGTCACCGGGACTCACCCAGAAATTGGCGTTTCATTACATTCAATGTTTTTTTTTTTTTTTAATGAATCTTAATTAATTTATGTAATGTATTCTTATACTAATACTG